CTGCACTTCAATTACTGTATCATTCCATTAAAGTTTAAACATCATTGGAAACAAAAAAATCTTGATACTGTAACAATCAATGCGTCAACTTTAGGATAAAAAATGGAGATACTTTAACAAGCTGTTAAGTACATCTTTGAAACTTAGCAAATCAACAATATTGATGCAAAATGCTGCAAATTCTTTTAAAATGTAAACTGCCACACTGCAAAAATGGGAGAAAAATGCCGAGCATGGTGCCATTTACAAGGTAACTTAGCCTGAACTAGAAAACGCAGTACGACCAGTTGTTGGACACAATTACACAATCTCAAGTACCCAGAAGATTCTACCAAACAGGAAATCCACAGTATGACTTCAAGAAACACAGGAATCATGAAGACTAACACCTCGAAAAGCCTGAAATTTCTTCCAATAATAATATGAATTTCACAGGCTCCTTTTCAAACAATGCACGCACAGTAAGTACTAAGACACAGGAAAAGCTACAGTTAAATAGGATACTTAAGTTTCAGATCAGGAGCTCTCAAGGTGCAATAAACCTAAAATACATCGTATTAAACCTCGAAAGTCAGAGAGAAGTTAGTACATAATATATTTCAGACCAGAAAATCGTATGGCATGGATTTAATTTAAAACACACTGACGGTGTAAATTAGAGCTGGAAAACACTCCTTCCTTTCCTTTGCTTTATGTGCTAGATCCTCAGGAAAACCATTGTGTACCTCGGGCAATAAACGTCAATAAAATTTCGTGCAAGCTCTCTATGGGGCCTTTAAAACAGTACTCACAGGAACCGTCTCAATTAAAAAGATATTTACAATACTTCCCAGAATCAAAAAGTTATTACTTTTTGATCTTGAGGGCGCCGGGCGGATCTGAACGTCTTTTGCTCCACAGGAGAAAATTGTTTTGTTCAACAATACTAAAATTGATGGGGGCTGGAGATTTAGCTCAGCGGCACAGCGCCTGCCTGGCAAGCGCAAGGTCGTGAGTTCGATTCCCGGTCCCGGAAAAAAAATAAAAATAAAAAAACAAAATTGAGCAGTGCTCTGTGACTAATCAGCGCAGCCGCCAGTTCTCCAGCTTCAGTCCTCTGGCGGGCACTGCGCCCCGCTTTACTCCACCACCACCACCCACCCCAAAAGGAAATACGCTTTCAACCGAATCGGAAACGCACCACTCGAGCTGGCACGGCGCTCGCCGAGATAAAGTCGGTATTTTAAGCTCTACGGGTGGCTGCTGATGCAAGTGCGAATTCATTATATTTATTTTTTGTCTTTTTGAGACAGGGTCTCGCTATGCAGTTCGGGCTGGCCTTGAGCTCACTTTGTAGCCCAGGCTGGCCTCGAACTTGCAACGATCCTCCTGCCTCAGCCTCCCCAGTGCTGGAGATTACAGGCGTGCGCCGCCACGCCCGGCCACAAGTGCGAATGCAAAAAGAACGCTTCTCAAAACGGGATGTCGACAGAGGCTTGCAAAAAAAAA